CTTCTGGACCTTCTGATGAGAGTCTCTCTCTTTGGAATCACAAACCCAGCTTAAAATCCCACTCATTTGTAGATGAGTGGTCCAAGAAGTCCCATTTGCAGCTTCCAGGGTCACTGTGACACCTTCTTGGGGTGTGGGAACACACTGGGGCCAGTGTTGGGGTGCTGGGGTCCCCCTTGGCATCATCGCAACCGTGTGAGCCAGTCCTCACCATGAGCATGCAGCCAGGTGGCAATATTGGGGCTAAATGGGTCCGTGATGGGAATATTCCTCTGTGAAAAATGATCATTTCTGCCAATCCTGGCCCTTGGCCATGGCTGATCTCAGCTCAGGGTGGGGGGTTTTCCAGCAGTGACAGCTTATGGTACCAATTATTAATGCAATTTCTGGATCAGTGGGAGAGCAGGTGACTGTGGGGACATGACATGGCAAAGCGTCTTGGCCATGTCCCCCCTCCATCTATCACTGGACATGGGGTGTGCTCGTTTTTTTTTCCTCTTCCCCTCTCTTTTTCTGTTCTTTTGTTTAAAGGTTTTTTAATTAACTTCCTGTTTCAATGGTGGGATAATGAGTTTTAAGCAGAACATCATGCCAGTAAAGAGGTCAAGCCGGCAATGAGGATGTCAAATGAAATTAAGTTAGGAATTAAGAAAGGTTCCAGGGAAAAAAAGAAAAAGAAAAAGCCCCAAATCATCCAGGGAGGAAGATGCTGCTGAGGATGAGGCTTTGATCTCCCCCTGCTTGACCGGTCACCCCCTGAAATGGTCCTGCTGACGTTTTTCATCTCTTTTGGCCCCGAATCACCGCCTTCCTGGAGACCATCACACCCCAGGGCAGGCAGCTCTGCTTCCAAAGGCTTTCTCTTCCCACCACAACTCATCTGTGGGATGAAATCAAACATCCGCCAGCGACAACTTTGCAGGGTCCAGCCTAAGGAGGCTTGAGCAGTTTCTGCTTTGCATCAACCGTGATGGGTGCTGACTCCGTCAGGGCCTGGTTGATGGGAGCCAAAGCTCTGCTGCTTCTGGGAGGTCTCCATCCCTCCTCCCCAGCGTGGCTGCAGGTGTTTCGGGGTTGGAGGCCAGTGCAGCATCACAGACAGTTCCTCTGACACATCCATGGCATCGCCTGCTGGCACCGCTCACAGCACCTGCCTTATGCACTGGGCATGTGAATTTGATGCACCACCATTAACTGCATGGACCTGGGAGGTGTGGGTGTAAGCAGATGCAAATAGGGCACCCAAAATTCCTCTCTCCAGAACAGAGCAGGGGTATGCTGGATTTTCCTGGGTCTTTGTGCTAGAAGAAGCAGTGACAGCTTTCCTTGGGGGGCTGAGGGGACAGACCCTGGTTGTTGTCACAGCTTTTGGGGGGGATGCATCTCACCCCTGCTGTAAGAAGCCCCAAAAGCCTCGATGGAGCTGATGTGTGCCGAACACCTGCGTGCAGCCCTGCCTTGGGGAGGGGAGCCCCACTGCAGGGAGGAAACAGGTTGCAGTCCTTCCCCTTGCACATTCCTTACCATCACCCTTTTAATTAGCTTTTTGGCACCGTCCCAAAGCTTCTTAGATCCCCCCAGGCCAGAGAATTTGCAGTTGCATCAACCAACGAAGGGCCAAGGGTCACATCTCTAACATGGGGATGTCCTCAAGTCCTGCATCTCCCTGCCCCATCACTGTGTGCATCCCGCCCTGCCATGTGTGGGACCCATGGGTGCCCCTGCATGGGGACAACCAGCACGGTGCTGGTGACAGTGGCATGGATGGGTGTTCCCCCCCTCCCCGATCCTGTTGTGTTTGCAGAGAGATTGTTATAGGGTAACAGAATAAATAGCGTGTTTTCCCGAGGAGTGAATTACACGCCTGCAGAGCAGAGATAATGCGTGAGCAGCCGTTTCCCCCATTGTGAGTGAGGTGACATCTTTTTATGGAGCTGTGTACATTTGTATTAGTGCCAATTAATCTGGGGTGATATTATTAGAGACGCAGGGAGAGGAGGTGTCGGCAGAGGAATGTAAATGGGAAAAGCTAAGGCTCTGCTTTGGCTGTGTTTCGGGGATGAGGGGCAGTGATGCTGGATGCTGCGCTGAGCATCCCGAAGGGGGTCTTGCTGCTCGCAGGACCACGGGCTGCCCCAGTCGGTGGCACAGCTCAGCTCTTTGCAGTCGCAGAAAGCCGTGGTTTAGGGAGTTTATTGTTTCGTCTCAAGGAGGAGGAATGGCGTCTCGGTGCCCCTTCGCCTGCAGGCTGGCCAAGGCCAGTGGGGCTGCGTGCTGGGTGCGCTGCAGAAGGGCTCTGCCACCTACCGGCAGCAGAACGGGGCCCTGGGTGCCACTTGTCACCTGCTGGTGGCTCAGCCCCAGGCAGCTGCAGAGAGCCAGGGGTTCTCTGTGACCTGGGCATGTCCTCGGCAGAGATGCTGCTGCGGGGGTTCGGGGCTCCCGGGGGCTGAGGTGGGTTTCGGGTTGAAAGAGATGATGCAAACACGATGCTGGATGCTGCTGGAGCTCAGTGTTCCCAGGTTCAAGGCTGGCATTTCTCAATGCTTACTCCTCCCACCCGTAGTGATCACCCAGTATGGGGACGATGCTCTAACTCACAAAAGAACTGGTACCCCCAGGGATTAGACAGCAAAACCGGGATGCAGCTTGAGGGGCTTCACTGCTGGCAGGATGGCAGCCCCTGGGTGGGTGCATTGCTCCTGTGTTATGTCCTCAGCTCCCCCTGCACCCCTGGCCCCACACTCTGCAGCAACCCAGGCTTAGGATTCCCCTGCCTGAAGAGAATTCAGCATTAGGGAGGCAGCAGCCCGGGGGAGTGTGTGGTCATTACACACATATGGCCAGGGAGACGTGGGAGCTGGGGTTTAAATTCCTGCTGTGCAAGGAACGGCCAGATTTGACTCAGGAGCAAGGGAAAAAAAGTATAAATCTTTAGCCCTTGCTAGCAGTGTGACAACCATGGTGGATCCCGTTATCCTTCAGGCTTTATGGAGAGGCTTAAAGCACCTCCAGCTCAGAAACTTGGGTGTGCAGCTGAAGAAGAAAGGCTGGCTGGATTTGGGGATGGGGGGGGGGGGGGGGGGCTTGAATAGCAGACAGCAGAATTAAGGGTGGTGACAAGAAGCCAAGAAATCCCCTAAGGGCCTCCATGTAGTGCCAGGCACCCCCTGTTCAGAACCAGCCACTCTGGGGCCGGCTGTGTGGTCACCCCCATCTGTGGAGGGTGTGGATTGGGGTGAGGATGGTGCAGCACAGCCATGCATCCCAATGAGGTGCAGCCCCAGGACCCCTGGATGTGCCCGGTGCCATGTGTTTCTCCCTGTGCTGCTGGCACCCGCTGAGCAGTGAGTTAATCTGCAGCCAGGAGAAGCTGCCAGGCTTTGCCTTCCTCACTGGAATTATGTTGACAGGGGCCTGCAATCTTCCAAGTGACAAGCACTGCCGGATAATGCAGGACTCAGCAAACCCAGGGGCTTTAGGGAGCTGATGGACGGGGGGGGGTCTCCTGCTCAGCAGGCACTGGCACGGTGGGAAGGGGATGTGGGTGAGAGTAGGGGGAGACGATGGGGAAAAAACCCACTCTCATTTAGAGGGGAAAGGGAAGAATGGAGTATTTCAGCCTTCAGAGCTGCAGGGATGATGTTAGCATCACCCCAGGGAGCAGTATTCAGGAGGGAGCGGTACCCAAGGTGAGCATCACTTGTAGCCTGTGCTGCAATAAGGTGGATGATGCCCCCACACCCTCCCCAGGGCCCAGGGGACAGGTCCCATCCTCTGCAGCAAACCTGTGACCCCAGGAGACTTCATTTCCAGTTGCCCATGTTACCAATTTGGAGGTGCAGGAGAGCTGCAGTAACATGAAATACTCCTCTGCCTCATGGGTTTGCTGCCCTGGTGAAATATAGTAGAGGGAAAACATAAAAGTCCCATTTCCAGCTCCATAATATTTCCTGCCAAAACAAAGTAAAATGTGCTGCCTTAAATTTTCTGCAAAATTCTTTTGAGGTTATTTTTTTCCCTAAATTAAGCCATACTAATTATTTTCAGGCACTTTATCTCCACTCTGCAACACACCAGGAGGGTGCGGGCGGAAAGCATTTTAAGCCTCCATAAACAAAAGAGTAGTTTGGAAAATAATTCTATCAATTAATCAAATTAATCCTGCAGTTTTAGTTACAAGCCCCAAGTGGCAAGGATTCTAGCCCGCAGTTACGAGCTATCTCTCATTGACAGCGTTTCAATGTTATGATTGCAACAGTAATTAAAGAATATAATATGCCTGGCTTTGTGTCAGCATCCTACCTTCAGACCTCAGTGCTACGCTGGCAAAGGTTAGCTTGAGGACAAATTTGGGATAACCAAACTGGGCTGGTCACCATTACCAGTTGGTGACGGCTAAACTGGGCCATCACCATTACTATCTGGTGATGACCAAACTGGGCCGTTGTTATCAACGCCACCAACTGATGGTGACCAAACTGGGTCACCACTACCACCAACTGGTGGTGACCAAGCTGGGGCTTCACCATCAACAGCTGGTAATGATCAAACTGGGTCATTGCTATCACCATCACCAACTAATGATTATTAAACTGGGCCATTACCATTCCCAACTGGTGATGACCAAACTGAGCCATTACCATCAGCAGTTAATGGTGACCAGACTGGGACATCACAATCACATTGGGCTTTTGTTTTCTCCCCCCAGGACAAGACACTCATGCCATGAGTAGAACTTGGGCAAGATGCAGTGGGGAAGAGGAGATGCACAAACATCTCCATCATTGAGAAGCTCCACTGCTTTGCAAGTGATTGCAAGGTGATGGCAGCAGCACCAACATCCCCCTGCACTCACGACACCATGCAGTTGTGCAGAGCATTCAAGTGTCAATTAGAAACATCACCATTTGGTTGGAGATGTGTGCAGGAGGAAGGGACTGCAGGGTGTGGGACGCAACCAAGGAGAAATATCCCACAAACATCACTCAGACAGGGAATTTCTGTGAAAATATTGGAATATATTTGAAAAGATTAATCATGTATGATTTTACAGTACCACCCCATATTTTCATCTCATACTTTATTTAACAATATTAAAGAGGCACTTTAAAAGCACACATACAACATCATAAAACGGCGTTTTCCTGCTCTCTCTCTGCTTCTCTGACAAAAATATCAAAATAAAAACTTTTGACAGAACACATTGCACCCAAGGTAAATTACCTACAATATTTTTATACAATACAAAGAATTGTAAAGATACATATTAACAGAATAAAGCCTCTTTTTTTTTTTTCTTTTCTTTTAAATCTAAAACAAAACAAAACAAAAAAAATCATTGCAGGACAGACGCAAAGTACTCTGACTGCTCATATCACATCAGTGCATTACTTCACCTCCTTGACTTGGGAGTATTTCAATAGTATTTTTAATTATCCTCCATGTCCTCGTTTGCACCTGAGATTTCTTTCCGGATTCAAAAGTTCGGTTGTATAACGTGCTCATTCAACGTGACGTAACCTCTTCGACACTGCGGAGTACCAGCATACAGGATTCTTCCCCCCCCTCCCTTAAAGTTGGATGTTTTTAAGCTATTTATTTCTTTTCCTGCTTTGTTTTCTTTTACAGGTAACTGCTACTTCCTAACGGTTCCCTTTTATTTTTCAATCAAGGAAGTCTGTATTCACATTACAAAAGAAGAATAGCACCAGTAACTGCATAGTAAAAAGCGGGTACCTATATAGCCACTAACTCAATACAGTAAGATAGTTTTAGAAGTGATACTGTTGAGGGCACTCGGACAGTACCGGTTCGGTGCGGTAAATTGGCACAGTTTTGTCGTTGCACAAAAAAATTAACCCCCATAAAGAAAAACACACACACACACACATACACACCAAAAAAAAAACCCTAAAAAAATCAGAGTTTGTCACAAGTGTCAAGGTGCAGTTTGCTCTCCTCCGGTTACATCGTCTACAGTGGTCAAAAGAGTGGCAGCATCCTCTAAAGGGCTCCGACAGCCCCAGAGCTGCCTCGCTATCCTCTTGACGATGTAGAAACAAATTCATAGGGATGGCTGTCAAAATGTAGGACACTCGATTCCTAATTTAATTTTTTAATTGTATCATCTCTTAGGCCAGCTCCCAATTAAATGAATTGTATGGGATTATTTGTGCAAAATCTTCAAGAAAAAAAAAATAATAATTTGCTTTCTACAGTGTACTGCACCTTATGAATAAGACGTCTATGGAATGAAGTTCATCTCTTCAAGTACTTTGTACAAAGATAACACAGACACAGACTCAAAAGGGTCTGAGATTTGCAAGTATCCTTATAACCTCAGCACTTCTGCAATAAAGCAATTGCTCTCGACGATTCAGTCTGCCCAAAGCGATTACAATTTCAGTTCATGAAAATCATCAGCAACATCAAAGTTCTAGCATTTGCATGATAAATCAGGTGAATTAAAGTAGATTAGTAGACACAAAGCAAACTATTTCACAGAGGCTGCAGTGCAAGTTCATTTAAGCTAGACAGAGAAATCATGCTACACAAACGAATTTAATGCTTTGATAATTTTTTCCCTTGCAAACCCCATGAAAGCAGCTGAGGGATCACCATAAGTCACTTCCATAAATTATTCTGAAGTATCTCTTCTTAAAGGAATTTTAAAGCTAGTTAATTTTTGCCCAAAGAGTTGGCTTAGCAGGTTGTTCTGGGACTCGGCAGTGCGGTAGCTGGCTGAGCTGGCAGGCTTGGCACCCCGGGGCAAGGAACCACGAGGGGATGGCTCCGGCCCCTTAGCCAACACTTGGTGAAGGCTCTTGCCCAGAATGGCCTTCCTGCGTTTCATATCCCCATTGGCGTGCCGGAGCATCCCCTTCTTCTGGTTATAAGTGTCCAAGACCATCTTCTTCAGCTGGGTGCCCGTTTTGGGCTTAGGTACCAGCTTATTGCAGTGCGTCTCCCTCCTCCCAGGGGAGAGGGCAGAAGCTTCAGCGTTACTCCATCCGGTGCGTTTGAGCTCAGCGGTGCTCTCGCTCCTCCCTGGGCATGGGGTCCGGGTCTTTTTCTTTTTCCCATCTCCTTCCATGTTCTCCCGGGAGCCAGAGCTGCTCCGGTGGCTCAAGGACTTGTGCTCTTTCCTCCTCTTGGCGTGAAGCTTGCCAACGGCTTTGCTTGGCTCTGTGTGGCTGTGTTTCACGGCGTTGCTGGTGGCCTCACCCCTGGTCTGGTGGCTGGTGGATTTGCTAGAGTTTTCACCTTGGGACTTTGCATTAGTGCTACTGTCCTTAACCTCAAGCATGGTTTTCTCCTTCCCCGAGATGGGTTGCTGACCTTCCTCAGTGCTGCTACCAGGGCTGCCCATGCCAGCAGCATCCTTGCTGCTGTGCTGGCTACTCGTGGTCTTCTTCTGCAGGACTGAATCTTTGGCAGCCCTCTCCAGTGTGGGTGATGCCGTCTTGTCCTTCAGGGGCAAGGAGTGGTGGGCAGCTTCTGGAGAGGTGGCCTTAGATGGACTTTCCCAGGCATCGCTGGCACTGGAGCTGCCCCATCTGTGTGTCTCCTTGGCTGGTGGAGACCCTGCCTGTGAGGAAGGAATCTCTGAGGCCTTCTCATCAAGCTGGAGAAATGGAATCCCATCCACAGCATCAGTGTCTTCATTGGGATTTTCCAGGACATCCACTATGTATTCATCGTTGTTGCTCACACTGGTTCTTTTATGTGCTTTGACGTAGTCATGTTTCTCACTCAGGGGTGAAGGAGAGAGCTTTTGGTCTGTGGCCTGGTTACAAGCCAGCCCAGCAAGATCAATGGTAAACTCAGGTGAGTCCAAGAAGGGAAGGGGTTTCCCATCAAACGCTCCTTTCTCCAGCTCCTCTATTGACAGGGCAGTGATATGCCCAAGGTCTGGGCTGCTTGCCGCAGCCTGAGACAAAGATGGAGACAGGCAGTGTGATGGAGGCAGCGTGTCAAACTGGGATTTCTCCATCTCTTCCAAGAGGTCAGAGAAGTCACCCACCAGGTCTTCTGCTTTCATAGAGGGTTGGGGTGCTCCTGTGTCACTGGGTGATGTAGGGAAGGAGTCAGTGGGAGCCTGCAGGCTGGGGCTTGCAGTCTCTACCAGCTGAAGGTCACTGGTGTGGTCGAGGTGGACCGGCGAGGTGGATAGGAGTGAGGTTCCACGATGAGAAACCTTCCTCTTCTTGCTCGGTGGCATGCCTTCCCGCAGGGAGCCATCCTCTTTCACCTTCTCCCTCCTCTCCCTGGAGGCAATGCCCGGCCTCATAACCCCTCGGAATTTGAAAGTCTTGTTGCTTCCTGCCAAGTGCTTCTCCATGTGCCGATCGTACTGCTCTTTCTTGGAAAAGGTGTAGTTGCACATGCTGCAGATGAAGGACTTCTTGATAACGTGCATGACATCTGCGCAGAGCTCACAGGCGTACAGGGTGGTGTGCTTGATCTCCTGCTCCTCCACTATGCCGTGCTCCTGGATGAGGTGGTTTCGAAGCTCTTTGGTCTCCTGGTAGAACATTGGACACTTGTGGCACAAGTAAATCTTCTGTAAACTGTGCACGACCAAGTGCCGCTGGAGCTTGAAGGGCTTGGGGAACTGTTTGCCACAGTGATGACAGTCCCGGGAAGGATCCTTGCAGTCTGGGTGCATGGGGACAGATTTAGGGGTGCCTTCACTTTTTGCCATGTGCTCTGGAGACTGACTAGCAGATGCTTTAGAGGAGCTGGGTGCAGGTGGCTTCACCTTGGCATTGGTTTCCAAGGGGTCTTTCATTGCCTTGGCCTCTTGCTCGAGGGGCAGCTGTTTGGGGCTCTTGCTCTCCCTGCTAACTGCATGCTTGCTGCTGGGGTCTGCGTGCCGGGAGGACCTGCTGGGCTTCCGATACATGATGGTGTTGAGGAAGTGGGTGACAGCAGCGTTGTCCTCACTGAAGCAAGCTGGCAGGCCCATCACGGACTTCTGCGCTTGCCCCTTGCGAGCAAACTGGGTGGCGTGCTCCCGGAGATGCTCGTTGTACATCCACACGTCGGAGATCTCCTTCAGGCACATTCCGCAAGCCCATAAACCCGCTTTGTTCTTGGCATGCTTCTCCTTCAGGTGGTCCCTCAGCTGCTCCCGGGAGCTGAATTTGCGCTGGACGCACATATAGCAGGTAGGTGGAGGGGAAGGGTTGTGGGAGAGCTTGTGGAAGTCCAGCTCCCCCAGTGTCAGGAACCACTGGAAGCAGACTTTGCATTTGTACTGCTTGTCTTTGGTCTTGATGGTCATCTCACTTCGGTTCTTCCCCAGTTTCCCATCTTCTTGCTTACTTTTGTGCTTGCTAGGCTGGCCTGGCTTTGGCTTGAAACTCACATCATTGTCCTCCCCAGGGCCGGGAAGATCTTCACAAGAGCCATAGAAGCACATGTCTCTCATTTTTAGCTTTGCATTCAGCATCTCAATGTCGATGGTATGAAACTCAGGAGAGTCTGAACCTTCGTTAGCCTTGTCATCATAAGGCTCCTCAGCCAGGTCGGGGGGCTCAGAACTCACTTCTCTGAGTGAGTGCTCGTCCTCAAGGTTCATCAGAGGCTCAAACATGTCCTCGGCAGAAAGGCTTTCTCCATCTTTCTCCAGACTTCCCCAGATGTTCAAGCTGGGGACGTTGTCTTGGCTGTTTTGGCACAAGAGGGTTAGCATGTTGTCTTCCAGGTCAATGTCCTCCTTCCTTTGGTCAGTCTTCTCATGGTCCAACCTTGGCGCAATGCTGTTAGATCCACTGGGAGCAGCATCTCTGCTCTTCGCCTTGCTGTTGTGACACATGTTCAGCATTAAAGCATCATCAACAGAGATGGTTTCATAATCACAAGTGTCCTCCCTGGTGACACAGAAAGAGCTGGTTTCGCTGAGGTCAGAAGGCAATCGCATGGAGAAGAGGTCAACTGCACCTGGTGGCTGGAGGTTTACCTCTGTGCTGGGCTTAGGTTTCTTGCTGCGCTTCCCATACACCCGTGTGCACTTCCTCCGAACAAACTGGTCATCACGGGGGAACAGTTTGGAGAATGTGGAGTCATCATCGAACAGGCTCTGGAGGTCCGAGACAGCCGCGCTCTCCATGCAATGCTCGCTGCCCGGTGCCATGTCTGCCTTCGCCCATTGCTTTGGCTCTGCAGGAGAATGGCTGGTCTGTGGCATGGTCTGCAGGGCACCTTGCACAGGAGTTGTTTCTGAATCACACGTCTCCAGCAGCAAACCTTCTTCAGCAGGAGCTGTGGGACCCTGCAGGGCACCACTCTGGTTCCCAGTGCTGCTGCCTACTACAGCACTGTCTCTTGTCTCAGCACCCATCTCCTCTGTGTCATCAGCACCACGAAGCTGCTCATTGCCGACTTTACCCAATCCTTTTACCACTTGCTTCACAAACCTGCTAACCCATTTCTTGCAAGCCTGCGTGTCTTCCACTCCATTTGGATCTTCCACATCCCCAGGACAGGTTACCATGCCTGTTACTGAATCGTTGCTGGTCATCTCCTTTGAAGACACCATCCTGTCGCCTAGGTCCTCTGCAAGCTCAGCTGCACAAGGGGACTGGTTAGCTTTTTGGGAATGCTGTGTTGAGTTGGACCTATTTTGCCCCTCTGTGGTGATGCAACCACCTGGCTCATGCAAGTCCTCCATGATCCTGGGCAGACTGGAGCTGAGGATAGCAGCAGGAGGACTTGCACTCTTCTCCATCCCACATGGACCATCGGGCTCATTTCTGCTGGGAAACACTTTTTCTTTCCTTTGTCTCACTTTCCTGTTCAGCTTCTTTTCAGAACTGCCATTCGCGTCCCCAGGATCTTTGCTTTGGCTCCTTCTGCCCTTTTCTCCCTTCCTGGCTTGCCGTCCCGAGTCCAGCTTCCCAGCCTCTGCCTCTCCTGCTCCTGTTGTCTCTGAGCATGATCCCTTTGCCTTCATCTCCCTCTGCAGAACACGTGTGCGGTGCAGCTCCTGGGACATCTCAAAGGAGATCACGCTGAGGTCGCTGAGCACTCTGCTCACCACTTCTTGCATCTGTGAGCTGGGCTCTTTCTCCAGGTCTGGGCATATTTTCTTGGTGGTCTGTTCAGCGTCGTTGGTTGGCATCTGTGCGCCGTCAGCTTTGTCTGCGATTGAAGACTTCAGGCTCCTCCTGGGAGCCTTTTGGGCTGCTTTTGTTGTGTTGTCTGGAGGAACCAAAGTGGACCTGGAAGTCTTGCTGGGCTGTGGCATGCCACTGTTCCTCACCTGGTGCTTGACAGCTTTGTGCCTGGTCAGACCAGGCTTGGACCGAAAAGTGGCTGAACAAATGTCACAAGTCACCGGCACCCCATTTGGCTTCTTTTCTTTGTGAAGTTCATTTTTGGGAGGATTTGGAGTACTGTTAGGTGCATTGCCCTCTCCTTGGCCCATACTGTTTATCACACAGCTCTCAGCTTCTCCAGCCCCATCGCTTTTTGGTTTTTTCCCTTCTAAACTCTTTCCTCCACTCTCTGTGGTTTTGGAAAGACCATGTCTCATCTCTGCTGAAAGCTCATGGCCATTTAATTCAACAGGACCAAGATCTCCAGTCCTTGTAAGATCTCTGCTGACAGCTGCTGACCCTTGCTGAACAGCAAAACCATTGGATAAAGCCTCTGGTTCACTTTGATGCTTATTTCCATCATCAGAGCAGCCTCCAAACCTGTTCTCTTGATTTGGGGTTATCTCTCTTTCTCTGAGCAGCAGAAGATCTATTGTGGGCTGGGTTGGATCATCTTGGCTTTTTGGAGGAATGGAGTTAATGACTGTATCTGTGATGGTGCATGCTTGGTTTTCTTTAAAATGAGAACTTTCGGGTGCCGCTTTCCCAACACAGTTTTGGTTGAAAGATGAAGAGCAGGGAAGAGAGCAATCCTTCTGGGCACCATCCATCTCCAAGGTAGAGCCCCCCAGACCATCAGAATGCATCAGAGCTGCAGGTCTTGACATGCCTTCTCTTTCAGGTGATCTATAGTTACCTGAAATGCCATCGGGGAGAGGATGGTGACTGTCCTCAACCACCTCTATTGGCATGGTCCCACAGTGATGCAGTGAGGGAGAAAAGGTGGGTCCTCTTTTCCATATCCCTTGCTCTACTGGCCTCTCAGTAGAGTGATGGATGTGATGGCTGTTTGCCTCGGGAGGGCACCTCATCATGACGAGTGAACTCGATGTGTTAAGCAGGGATGGGCCATATTTCCCCTCATCTGAAGGCTGAAGGTTAAAAATGGGGACCTCTCCTCCCTCAGCCCCACCACTCTGCAAGCCTTTGGGATCAGAACAATTGGTTGGTAAGGGCAGGCTGGCCAGAGATTCTCTTGTGCAATGACAGACACTGAGGGGCTTCTTGCCACTTCCTTCTCTAGGAATCTTTGCACTGACTGCGCTGGCTTTTGTCTCTGGCACCAAGCAGTGATCCTGGTGGAGATCATCGTTGGAGGGACTCAGGGGGCTGGTAGGATTTGTGGGAGTGGGAGGCTGTGTCCCCTGCCCTACCTGGTTCCTTTCCATCCTCTCTGCTGCTGCACTGCCCAGTGTGTTTTTCTCAAGCAAGCTACAGTTTAAATGAGATTGCTCATGTTCTTTAAATGCCAAGGTTGCTTTGTTTTTATCTTGCTCCTGTTCTTCCATGAGCTGATCAGCTTTCTTTACTTGCCCTAGCAGTAAGGTCACTGCTGTGTTTTTGAGTGGTGAGAGGTCATTACGCTCTCGGGAAACACCATCTGCACGGATATTAATGTCACCCAGCTCTGCGTGTTCATTTGCTAAGTGCTGCAGCTCTGTTACATTATTTTGCAGCTCCGGCCTTACAAACGTAGATTGTTTTGCATGGAAAGAACCCACTGAACTGAACGACTCCGGCTCGCACCCACCAGGAAAAATCACAGCCTCTTTTGCTAGGGTAGCAATATTTTCCATGTTGCCTTCAATGGGGACATTCCCTTCCCCTTGGGCAGGACAGGATGCCTGATTTTCCCCTTCTATAGCACCACCGTTCTCTTTCTCCTCTGGTTGGATGCGGGTGGTGGTAGAGGGGTGGCTGGGGGCAAGCAGCATGGGGAAGCACGGCATCAACAGCTCCTCTTCATTGCTCTTCACTGTTCGGGCAACAAAGAGTTGAAGCTGCTGCAGAGGGTTGGCAGCCGTCTCCTGGGATGCCTTCTGGGAGTCACAGTCACTCTCCTTGGGCACACTCAGCATATCTAACAGCAGCACTTTTTGCTTGCTGGCTTTGCCTCTGGGTCCAGGGCCCAGACAGCTGGTGGGGCTCTTTCTCTCCTCTCTTTCTTCCACCAACACAGGCCCACCACCCTCCCCTTTGAAGTCCATGGCATTTTGTGCCATTTTGGCTGACTCTGGCCTGCTTAAGGGTCTTTCTTCTGTATCCGGGACCTCTTTGGTGGGAGGTGAAAGGGTGGGATCTGAGGCTTGGGCAGGAACCTGCTGAAAGCCAAATCCAGGTTTGTGGTTTGGAAGATGGGCATCAAACTTCTCCAGCTCTGCAGCATCGGTGAAGCTTTCATTTGCTTTGCCTGGCAGAGGGAAGCTCTTAGCACCACGCTGGCATGGAAGGGATGACAGGGAATCTTTGGTTGCTTCTACTGCCTCCAGGGTCTTGGGGAACATGGGGTTGGTGGCAACAGGAGGGGTTTTAGTCACAGGGTCTGTGTAGATGGGAGCCTCTGTTTGATCTGGCGTGTGTGAACCAGGTAGATCTTTGGAGGAAGACCCATTTTCCATCTTTCCAGGGTCACTTTCCTTGGCAGCTGCAGTTAACTGGAGCTGCTCACCACTGTCTTTGGAGCAGAAATGGTCCATGGTGAGTGGGGCTGGCATGCACATTCCTGCCTCCAGAGACCCCAGCTCTACTGGGCAGGGCCAGGGCTCCCTTGGTCTCTCATAGTCCCCATGGGCACTTGTGACAGCTGGCTTCTCACCGCCCAGCCTCTCCCCAACACAGAGGCTTGGTCTGCCCAGTTCATGTGCCAGAAACAGTCCTTTCTCATGGCCTGCCCCTTGCTCAACCGGCAGTGAGAACCGCTCAGCTGCTGGTACCCGCAGATGGGCAACAACGTGATGCTCATGTTTCTGGAGGGCAACAGGTGCCTCATGGTCCATCTTGCTGGTTTGCAATTGACTCTCCAGCTCTGTGACTAACCGCTTGATCTCCAGCTCATCGTCTGACATGTTGTTCATAAAAGTCACGTTATAATCCGTTATCCTGTCCGGCAGTGGCAGGGAGAGCTGGCCGGTGGGGACATGTCCTTCCTCAGGGAACTTCTTGGCTAGTGGCTTCTCCACTGACAGGTTGTGGAACTGAGTCATGTCTTCTGGCAGCATCGGAGCCACCTCCTCCATGAGGGACCAGTCTTTCTCTGGCATGAACTGTGGATACGATTGATCGAACGGCAGCGGCTTGCTTGGGGGATTGCCAGGACAGGTAAATGCGGTCACAAAACCATCCTTGCTTGCAGAAACACCTTCATACAGTGGTGGATCGAACTCAGTGACAGGAAGCTCTCCAAATATTGAAGAGGAATCGAAGCTGAGAGGGGAGGAGACCTTGCCCTGTGACGTTTCTGCGGTGTAAGGGGAGATGCTGGCGTGCTTCTGCTCTAAGGAGCTGGTGTTGATGTCGTCTCTGCATAGGTACATGTCTTCCATGTGCGAGGAGCCCAGGGCTGGGGGCTTTGAGAAGAGGTTGCCATCATAGTGCCCAGGAAGACCTTTGGGATCAAAAAATGTGTTGTCACTGCTGACGTATGGATTGGGCACCTTGGCAGTGAGCAATATCCCCACTGCATCCATCCCGTATGTGGCAACTGGTGCAGAATAGTCCTTCTGACCTTCACTGAGCCCGTGTGCCTTCAAGTACTTGATGCTCATTTCTGAGTAGGCAGCACTCGCATTGCTAGGACTAGCTTCGTTACCACTGTGGGATGGAGCAACTAGCTCTTCTGCATGGTACTTCAATCCATCACTCGTGAAAGGGCCAAACTGATGGCTCTGGTTGACCATGGTCAGCTCAGGTGAGTCCTGAGCCTCCAGGGTGGGCTCTCCTGCCTTACCCATGGGCTTTGCTGCTTCTTTGGGCTCTTCTGCCCCCTCCTTATTGCAGAGTCCAATGGGGCTCTTGCCCGAGGTGGCCGTGCTGGGCCTTTCCTGGGGCTGTGCTAATGGCTTCTGCTTTGCACAGTCCATTGCAACAACGGCTGGTTCTGCACTGGGACATGTTCTGGAGCCCAATGGCAAAGGCTTGGCTGAACCAAACCGCCTGCTCCCCCTGGTAAAGTCCTCTTTGCTTTTCTTGCTCTTCTTTGGGCTCCTGTCCCTGGGAGGGCTGAGTGGAGTCCTTGGCGTGCATGCTGGGCTGCCCAAGCTCCTTCTCCTCTGTGTGCCTCCCTTCTCGCTGCCTGAGCCAGCCCTATCAGCATGGGATGGGCTGGTTCCCATCTCACTGGGCACGCTACCGCTGTGGTTGCTGCTGGCAGACGACTGCCTGCTCTGTCTTGAGCCTCTGGTGCCACAATCCTCTTCCTCAGCATCCTCCTGACTTGGGACCCCACCGTGTTCCTGTGCCTCCCTTTTCTGAGTGTCCTTTTTCCGGCTGTAACTCCAGGTGGGGTCTTTCTCTTTGACCCTCTCCCTTCTTCCAGGACGTTTCTTGGTAAAGCTGTATTTGGTTTTCCCAGTGAATCCCATGCTGTGCTTCTTTCTTCCCCGGAGCTTGCTGCACTCTGCCCCATCATCATCCGAGTCAGAGACATAGTCGTATTCCTGAAACCTGCCCTCTTTGGTGGCTGGCGTCAGCCTCTCGGTGACCTGGGGGCACTGAGCCTGCTTGCTGCTCTTCACCTGCAGCTTGTGGAGCTTGTTCTTCTGCTGCACTATCTTGTGAATGAGCTCCTTGCTCCACGTCCCACTTCGGGGCTTTCGCTTCTTCAGATCCTTCATGGAGAACCGGGGTGGCTTGGAGCTCTTGGTGCCAGTGCCTGGTCCCACTTCACTCTTTGTTGAAGGCTCCTGGCTGAGCTTCCTGGGATGCTTCTGGCTGGAGGTGGACTTGGAGGAGGTGGTGGCTAGTGGGATGCTGTTCTTCCTGCCTGCCCGCAGCCTGGCTGTCCTCTCTGCTCCTGCTGCCCCAGGATCTGGCTCCTGGGCTGCCACCCTCTGCGCTGCCCTCCCCTTGTGAAGGTGATGCTTTCCTGCCACTATCTTTGACTGATCCCCACCATCTTCATAAAAATAGACAGACTTGGGCTGGTCCCCTGCCTTCTCTTCCACTGCTGCCTGCTTTGATTTGCTCTCTGAGGCCAGAGCTTCCTTTGCCTTGTGGGACAACCCACCACCAGCTGTCTTCATGCCTGTCAGTTCCTCATCAGCAAACACATCTATGAAGCTGCTGTCAATCTCTGGGTTATCTGACTGGTAGCCCAGGCCATTGAGGGCTTCAGTGATCAGGCTGTCCAGCTTGGCATCATCAATGTCCAGGTCTGAGGCAGTGAGTGGCAAGGAGCTGTTGGCAAGTCCATTGAAAAGGCCACCCTTCAGAGCATCTTCCTTGCTCTCGCTTTTGCTATCCCCATCTAGCAAGAAGTCATCGCTCTTGTTTAATACCAACAAATGTGCCTGGGTGTCTGGAGAGAGCCCCAGGCTGGGGGGCTTGGGAGGCTCTGGAAGGAGCACTTTCCGCCCCTCAGCTGCCAGGGAAGCATCCTTGCCCTCTCCCTGTGGATTGGGATGGGAGGTGCAGAACTGGCGGTGCTGCAGGAAAGAGGAGAGGTTGCTGTAGTTCTGATCACACTGCTTGCAGGTCAGGAGCACGTCCAGCTGGTCCAGGCTAGCACTGCTGAGTGAACTGGCCAGCAAGTGATGGGAGGAGTACGGAGGAGGAGGCTGCTCCCCATCCAGCCCATCTGAGCATCCCTTGGCCACCTCCATGCTGGGTTTATGGAACGGGCTCGCTGGTGCGCATTTCAGGAGGCTGTTGTCTTTGAGGGCGTCAGGAGGGAAGTGGAAGGACTTGACAGAGTCTTGGGGGTGGTAATGAAGTGAGCTGGAGCTCAAGACATCGGAGGGCTGGAAGGTTTTGTTGCCGTCCTTGGGATGACAGGGGTGCTGGAAGAAGGGAGAAGGGGTGAGTGCTCCAGACATCTGGCTGTCTTCAAAGCCGGGGTTGAGCGGGCTGCTGGACATAGGTGAGAGCGATGAGCATGTGCTGCCACAGGTAGGGTTGGGGACGGGGGATGGCAGAGGGGACTCGCAAGGGGAGGCAGCCACCAAGGCTGATGGTGGTAGGACCAGCGCTGAGCCCGATGAGCTCCTTGATGGAGGAGGACCTGCTTGACCCATGCTGTAGAAGAGGGCTTTGCTTCTCGAGTCACAGGCAGGAGACCCTGGCTCCTTCCCACTCTCAAAAGCGAAAGTGCCTGTTGAGTTGGGGTCTCCCCTCTGGACCCCGAGGCTCTCTCCCGACAAGAGCTTTTTGCTGTGATACCCTGGGGAGTTATTTATAAGGGGCCCTTTCTGGGCTTTCCCATTCCCCTGCCACTCTGACATGCCCACAGGGAAGGGGAGCTTCTGGCTGGTGATCTGTCTCGACAGCTCTAGCCTGTTTTGACCAGGCATTGCAGAAGTGAGGTGTATTTGCTGCCAAGGCATCCTGGCATTTTTCTGCCTGTGCTGCCTCTGCTCGGGGCCAGACTGGCACTCGAATGAGAACTGGTTTCCAACAGGGTTTGAATAAGGTGCTGAGTTCTGGTCCATGGGAGAAAACGCCTTAGTGGCACCTTCCCAAGCTTGCACAAGCCTGGGGTGGGTGGGTGCCGTAGTGGGAATGCTTGTCTCGAAAGGCACGGATCCTGTGCTGGCGCTGCCTGCGGGGGAACTGCAATAGGCTTTGCTCTGAAAGTGCACTTGGGAGAGAGGGTTTGGTGGCATGTTCCTTCTTAGAGGGCTGCTCTGGACCAGCACCCGCGGGCTGGGGACACTGTCTTTCGCTGAGGCTTGCCTTTTACCGACTGGCTTTGGCATACTAGGCGAGTGTAAACTAGACGGAAAAACAGCTTGGTTTTCTTGGAAAGTGCTTGGGTTTTGGTCTATAGCACCAGATGACGAGAGAGCACCATTGGAGTCGGTGGGATGCTCGCTCCTGCCCTTGCAGCACGGCAATGGGCCATGGTGCGGGGCTGGCGGTGGTGGTGGGTGCAGGAATGGTGTTGGTGGCGTGGGCAAACCATACAGCCTGCCCTCGGGGGACACGTTCTCATAGGAACCGCTGCTCAGCACCTCCTCTTGCCACTCTCTGGAGGAGGAGTGGAAGGCAAAGGCACCATGAGGGAGTTGGCTGGTGGCAAGCCCCACATCCAGGTACTCCTGGCTCCCTGCATCGCTGTGGTACGGCTCCTTCCCCGCATCATGCAGCAGCTGGAAGGGGTACTGGCACGGCAAAGTCCCCAGGGCTTGGGCACCGGCTTTGCTGCCGTCAGGGAAAGAGCTGGGCTTCTGCACCGAGATCCCATAGCTAGCACCAGCGAAGCTCTTCTCCAGGGATGGCCAGGAGTCAGCCCTGTTCGCCTGAAACTCTAGGTAATGTAGCTGCCCATTGGTGCTGGGGCTCTTGAGGGGGATGCCGGCAGCAGGGGGCTGCCCTTTGGGGCCATGGGAGGGAGCGGTCTGTGAGGTATAGTTGGTGGAGGTACGGCCAGCGCTGGCATCAGAGAAACAGCGGCCGAAGCTGAGTTCTTCTTGCTGGAGCTCAGCCTCACGCTGGGGGATGCTGGGCACGTGGAAGCGGTAGCTGCCGGCCACAGGGCCATGATTTGCCTCTGGCTCCTTGGGGGGGGTCACCTTCTGCTGGGGGTAGGCGATACCAATGGTGGGGTTCGGCCGGGTACCGGCGATGCTGAGCCGGTAAAGCTGATGGTGGCCCCGATCACCCTTCCCCGAGCGCCGGCTGCGCTCCCGGGATCGCCCCTTCCCTGGGGGGGACTGGGGGCTGCCCTTGTCCTCTCCCCATGCACCGTCATTGCCAAACTTGGGTTTGCGGTGGAGCGACTTGAAGTCGATCTTCCCGGCTTGCTGCGGCCGGATCACGGCTTCCCGCTGGCTGTGGGGCTCCTTGTCCTTTGGGGTGGGAAAAGGGGATGTGCCCTCCCCACCTAGCGCCCTCCCATCCTTCTCCCCACAGCCTTCAAAGCCAAAGTCCTTGTCGGGGTCTTTGGGGCCGGCCTCAATGTCGCCGATGGTGTAAACATGCTGGGTCTCTCCAGTCATGATACCAAGGGACAGGGAAAGGCTAAAAGTCCCCGTTTTCCCGTCTTGCTGTGAGCTGCTGTCCCTCCGTCATGGGCATGGTCCTCCACTGATGGGCACTGGGGCAGTGAGAGGGGCAGCGGGTCCCCGGGGCCGGGGTGGCGCTGGGTCCCAAACACTGGTGGGGCTCTGCTGCATCGTTTCCGACCTGGAGAGGGTATAAGAGAGAAAAGGTGTCCATCAACAGGAGAAAGGGGCATTGTGAGAGGGAAGAGAGATTTTTCCCCTTTCTTTTGTGCTGTGTGGTGGGGACGGAGGAAGATGCAGCACAAGCACTCTAAGTAGCCCCTGGGTGATGTCCTCCAGCTTTTGGTTTTTCAAAGGATGCTCGGAGCATTTCACCTTTGGCAAAAGCTGCTGAGGGAGGCTCTTTGGGCACTTTTTTCCTCCCTGAGAAGCTATTTCTGGGTTACTTCTTAGCAACATAAGCAGAAAAAGATGACAGAACAGCTCCACCTACGGATTAGCGGGAAGGGATGTCGGGCCAAGCTGGGAGAGGCATCCTGGGAAGGGCTCTCTGTCCCCATGTCCCCAGATCCCCTCTCTTGCAGCCAAAGGGATGATGAGATTCGGCTGTGCAGCAAAAGTCTTTTGCTCTAAAAGACAGCTCTCCTAAGTGCATTGCTCTCTGCCTCTTCACCCAGCCGTTGCTCTAAATCCCCTGGAGAAAGGACTTCAGCTGCTGCCGCCTCTGCCTTAACTTTAATACCACTTGCAAATTGCCCTCAGAGTTTTAGACGCTGTAGGTGAAAGCATAAAAACAGAGCCCTGAATTTACCAGCTGCTTTTACTGCACAGAACCTCAGGGCATTCGACATGAGGCACAAGTCGAGCGCAGCCTTTTAAAAAGTACCACCTCAGACACATGTCTTATTAAAAAGAAGAATAAACCCCTGTTTTAGAGTCTCTTTTAAAAAGTCTGTTGGAAACAGAAAGGGTTTCTTTCCCCTCCCTCACTAGAAATGCTCCTTCACTCTCTGCTGCAGGGAGCAATGGCATGGTACTGCTGGGAGCTGGGGAGGGAGTGACCTGGCTGCAAAGAAGCGTGAAATTCAGCTTATTAGTGTTCTCCTGGGTGTAATTCTTACAGCTCCAGCCCCATTCGGGGTCACCACGCACTGCACAGCCTCGCCAGCCCTGCCCAGCAGCGAGCTGAGAAGGAAATGAATATTTCTGCAAGAAAAGGGGAGTGACCTGCGTCTATTCGGGGTCTCTGCAGCGTGCGTGGATCGTCTGTGTTGAAGCATCTGATGCTTTGCCTGTGTACAGCAGCCAGGGTGAGCACCCAGCGCTACATGATGCTGCTACAGCACATGTACATTGACAATACTGTGTATATACAGAAATAGCAGTGGTACGGCTGCATCCCAGTGCTCCTTCTACAAAGATGCTGCAGGACCTTGCACGGAGGGGAGGTCTATGCAGTGGAGGTTGCCCAGGGGGTCTCCATTGGGTCCCCTCTCTGATTTGAGCTGTGTGATGCTGCTACAGCACATGTACATTGACAATATTGTGTATATATAGAGAGCAGAGGTATGGCTGCATCCCACCTCTCCTTCTGCAAAGGTGCTGCAGGACCTCGTAGAGAAGGGTGCTCCATGTAGTGGGGAAAACCCAAGGGGACTCCCCAGGGTCCCCTCTCTGAATTGAGCTGCCAGGCTCAGATTCCTCCCCACCTTCTCCCCCACTAAGTGAAATGAATCCCAGGCTGATAGAGCCAGACCCTATCGTGCTCGGTCTCCACGTGCCGGGCAAAGCTCAGACACGGCCCTTTGGCACACAGGGGTTTTGCTTGCAAAACAGTGCGGCACTTATGCCTCTTCCAGACACAACTGCAAAGCCTGTTTGCTGCTGTTTAAATTTGCGAAGGCGCCTCGCCAAGATAAAATACCCAAGGCCAGCGCCTGCTACATTATCACAGTCCTGCTCTTTCAGCCACATAAAGGAGCCCCTTTTTTTTTTCTCTCTCTTGAAGGAAATGGTCGCTTGTGTATCCATAGAGCTGCAGGATTTGCCTGGCAAGGGCTGGCGTTTGCTGGTGCATTAGAACTGAGTGCCAGGAGAAACAAACAGCCTGTGCTGGCAGGGTGATGGAGATGGGGAAAGCATGTCCTGCTGATGTAGATGAGCTATGTGCCATGTCAGATGCCCAGGGATGGTGGCAGAGCCTGGGCAGGACATGGGCATGAATTTATCCCTGCAAATGATAGACGGAACACAGAGATAAAGGCAAGGTGTAAATAAGGGTTTAATTCCCCAAAATGCTGATGCTTGTCCCCAAACCGGGGTTTGGGGATCCCTCATCTCTACATGGGGTCCTTGCTGGTGCCTGCAGCCATAGGGTGGGATGGCAGAGCAGCCCTGGGAGCAGCACAGAGCAGAACACTGCGGCCTGTCAGCAAGGCTCAGCCCATGCTGCTCCCGATGGGGCGATTGATAAAGAGGGCTGGGTGTGTTGATTTAAAGCGATATTCCCCAGGGAGCTGCCTTCATCCATCACCGGAGGGCTTACGGATCCAAACAGAGTCTTCGCCCCCTTGTGGGATGGGAAACCCAGAATAAAACGAAAATAGGGACCATTAAATCTCTCAGCTTTCTCCTTAACCTGCCCTGAGGACCAGGATCCTCTTTGGATTACCATTGGCACCGTTTCTTGTGCATTTATGTTTCAGCTCCTGGAAGAGGAGGTGGAAAAGAATTGGATGGAGGCAAAGAAAGGTTATGCTTTAAAACCATGTTATATTTATTACCAAGCTGCCTGGCTGCAGGGAGAGATTTTTACCTGTAATTGTGTGCCCTGCCTGGTGCTCAGCCTTTTGCTCATCCCTGGAGCATCCTCCTGCACTGGGCTGACATAGAATCAACCATGTTGGAAAAGACCTTTAAGATCATCAAGTCCAACCGTCCCCCAGCACTGCCAAGTCCAGCACTAACCCATGCCACTGAGGACCTCATCTACATGGTTTTGAGCACTTCCAGGGATGGTGACTGCCACTGACACCCTCCTGCAGCCCTGCAGTGGTTTGGGGACACAGGGACAAGCTAAGCAGTGATGGCAGGAGCCTGGCAAGGCAGAAACCAGCCTGCTGCTCGCAGGGCAGGTCCCATCCTGCCAGAGCTCCAACATGCCAGACTGGTTGTGATTCACCGCCCTGGCACCAGTGTCTCAGCTCCTGACACTGTGAGAGCTGGTGGTGCCCCTCTGCTGTGCTCACTGAGCACCTCAGTGATTCCCAATTCCCTTAGCATGCATTCCTGCAGGGCTGTGCCAGCGCACATGATCTGGTTGACTGCATCACCCCCAGCCTTGGTAGTGTTTGCTTCCCAAGAGAGAAGAGCTGTGAATCCCACCAGCAGGATGCTGAAGCTTTGCATCTCAACCAGCACACCATACTGGGACCACACCATAATGATGGTGGGGACCACCCTGTCCCCACCATGGGCAAGGCAGCAGCAGGAGAAGTAAAGGGCAAAACCCTGGTCTGGTGGAAGCAGCAGCAAGGGACAAAAGCGGTTGTATGAACAGCAAAATAAACCCAAAACTGAGCAAGACACCCCCACCAGCTAAAACGAAGGAGGAAGAGGGCTGAAACAGCAGCTCTGCCTGTGGGAAGGCAGGTTCAGCTCCACTGTCTAGACCATTCCGGGACTCAGTGAGCATCACTCTGCATGGATGGAAAACTCCTCTGTGGGAGAAGACGCAAAGTACAGCTTGGACCTTGCTGGGGGATGCAGGAAAGCTGGGTTTAGTGCTCAGCTCAGCCTCTCCCTTGCATGACCTTGGGTAAAAGTCAGTTAATCACGGTGACTCAGCCTCCATCTGTAAATCAGCCCCGATAATGCTTCCCCTCGCCTATCTGCTCTTTGGATCGTCTGTTGAGATTAGCAAGGCAGGGACTGTTCTTGCTATTTGTATATACAGTGCCCGGTGCAGCAAAGCCCTGATAGGGCTGGAGACACGTAGGTCTGGGTGAAAGGAGCTCCAGTCACGGTGGGGCCCCCCCCGGGGATGCTGCTCCAGTGGGGTTTGGCATGGGCAAGCTCCTGCAAGGTGAATAAACCATTCTAGGATCATCCCTCCCCCTTGCGACCTGGCCCTTTCTCAAAGCCCAACACCTCTTTAAACATCCTGCCTCTTGCTGCTGGGCTGCTGTGGGGCCAGGAAAGCAGCTGGGGAGGATGCTGAGCATCCCTGCATCCGGGGCTCGGGAGGGCTGGGGGCATCCCCGGGCTGGAGCATGCTATGGGATGAGGAGTGGAGTGTCTGGTTCCCAAAATAGCATCTGACCCGGTTCCATCAGCTGGCCCGTACCTTGGCACCCTGCGCCGCTCAGCTACTGCCGGGACTCACTTTCACCTCCCATGAAATATGAATTTCTTGGCTGCAAAGGAAAGAGAAAACTATGTCAGGAATCTGTGGCTTGGCTGCCGGCACTGCAATGCACGGGGAGAGCTCAGCCGCCAAAAGGAGAGGTTTCCACCCCAAAACTGCCCCATCATGGCCACCCCCAGTTGGGTCCATCAGGGTGGGTGGGTTTGGTTGGGCAAGTGGGCATAGGGTGCTGTGGGAGTGAGAAAAGTGAGGCATGGATGGGGGTGGGGTCCTGCCTCCCCCTCCCCTGCATCCCAGCTCCACCCCCTGCATCCCACACACTGCCTCCACCCACTGGAGTCCCATTGGGGTCCTGCAGACCCCAATGCCTTGCAGGGGCTTATTGTAACCGCAGTCAGGATATGGTCCTGAGAGGCAGGAAACGGCCTCGCCGGTGTGAGGAGGAGGAGACTGAGGATGGCTAAAGCCCAAACCACAGTCTGGGCATGCTTCGGGCACCAGCCAGCCTCAGGCAGGTGCTGAGAGCAGCTGAGGGCAGTGGTTTGGTCTTCCATCCTGCAGCCAGCAATGAGCCTGGGTCCCTCAGTGCCCCTCAGTGCCCCTCAGCTGCATGGTGATGTGCCTGTCCCAGTGATGCCCAGCTCCAAGGAGCAGCGACACTCTCATCCATCTCCATCCCATACTGCACTGGATGTGGCCATGCTACTGAAGCAGCACCTGCCTACAGTACATCTTAGGGGTGGGCTGCAAAAAGGGTTCTTTTTCCTAAATTTGGGAAAAGGGGGGGTTTTGAATGGATTGCTGTTACCTC